TAAGGCAGTTTTTTGAAAACCCATTCAGTAAAGAGGCCTATGAAATAAAACGTCAAAGTTCTTTGCCTCTACCTTTTCACTTCTACTCTTAGTTATTATTCTGATCATTGAATCACTGTTAAAAAAATTGGTGTGCATTCTTCCAGAACTTTCCTTATGTCACATACAAAAACAAACAAAATATAATAAATATTTAAAATATATATTATTTAAAATGAATGTATTCTATAGAATACAAATTAGTATATTATACATAAAATAATATACAGTCTATACTGCTTGCTTACTTTACATAGCAGTAAAAAAAAATGTCAGTAGAGTCTTTTTAAAGGCTGCAGTATATTTCATTATTCCATTGAAGGACTATTATACTTTTCTCCCCTCTTTTTGCTCTAAAAATGCAGTAAAGATGTAGTACATGAATGTGGGGAAAAGTACAAGAGGAGAGATTGCTGACTTCAAGTTACATGAAAACTTGAGAGAAACTAACTGCTTAAAAGTTGTTTCACCATTTCCTGAACCTCTTTTTAATATCTTTACTGATTTGGAATATTATCAATCTTAAGTTATTATCAATCCAATATTGGGATATCATTTTTATAATTTTTATCTCCCTGGGTCCCTTGTGGGGGGTAAAGGATATTTTCATATATGTATTAGACATTTGATATTCTTCTGTGATTTTCCTTTATATATTCTTTGCCTATTTCCTACTCTATACAATTGTTTTTCTCTCATTTATTTCAAGGACCTTATTGTATATTAGCGATGTTAACAATTATATGTGTCAAACATTTGCTCCCAAGCACTTATAAAGGTCCCCCCCCTCTTATTTTTGCACTGCCCTCCCCTCTATTGGTTTCTTCCTTTCCATTTTCCCTTTTGGCTGGTGTATTTCCTGTCTTATTTGTATCACTACTAAACTAGAAGAGAATAAGGGAAAAGGAGTTAAATATTTGAATAGGACCTACGACAACATCAGTTTAGTTAGAAAGAATATGGAAACTTCTCACTCAATGTATATGGAGGATTTTGTGGGTACTTTCTGTCTATTCCAATTTTTCACAAAGTGACTTTTCCTTTAGAACCATTAATAATGACTGACTATCCCAATGAAAACATGGAACTCACTGACACACTGATCAAATGTGAAAAGTGCAATTAGTCATTCAGATGCTCTAATGCACAAGTATTTTGTTAATAAAAAGTAAAGTCAGTTACCAAAGATTTGAAATATTTGTGACACTCAAAATGTTTTCTTCAAACAAATGATGTGCTACTTTAAGTTTTATACTATAAAGACAGAAAACCATAAAGAATATTCATTAATTCACATAAGAGGGACTCAGACTGAAAGTAACACAATCATGGGGAAAGATGGACAGTGAGGAAATCTATTTTTCAGGAAGGCATTTGGATTGCTAGCTCTTGCAGACATATAGAGGAGGGAGAAGCAAATGTTTAATAGCATTTTAAAAAACAATAGATTCCTTTGTCAATTCCCCCCAGGCCTTGCCAAATAAAAAAGCATCTCTTTCTCCTCCTATATTATGTGTGTCCAGTCATTCACATTTTTCCTGAATGCTTCTATTTTATTCAGACAATTGGTAGTGTTTTCTTGATGTTAAACTAACTTTAGTAAGAATGGAGTTTATGGCTTGGCTATAATCATTGATATTCCCTGGAAATCTTGCTTGAGGTAATCATTAAGACCAGGAAATCAAAAATTCTCTCTCTCTCTCTTGTTATATCATTAGAAAAATTCTTTTAGAAGCATATGTCTTTAAATTTATTCTTTCAAATTATATTACAGAGAATAAAGGGAGGCCATCACTGTTTATCTAGGGAGCAGATTACTTTATACTTTATAATATTAAAAATAAATTTATTTCTAAAGATAATTGTTACATTTTCATTGGTAAACCACTGTTTGCTGGGAAAACCATGCATATATTATTGTATTTCGTTATTTTGCTTGTTCTTAAGTAATCTGAGAATGAAGAGTTTTATATTAGCTGAATATTGAGTCTTAGGGTCAGGTGTGATAGATTCTATCATTTTAAACTTTTGTTTTAGATCTTTAAAGACTCTTGCTCTTAGCAAGTTACAATCCAGAAAGGCAGGAAAACTGATTTTAGTATGCAAAAACAAAGTATTTGGCAGCCAAGATAATCAGCATTTATGCAAACTAAACATTTTCAATATTTATGAAGATTTAAGAAAATGTAGAAAATGTTATAGGACTGTTTACAAATTAAGATCTATTGCCTGTATCTTGAATCCATAGGGTAGATTTTTTAAAAATATAATTATTGTCAAATTGGTTTCCATACAACACCCAGTGCTCATCCCCATAGGGTAGATTTTTATCCTTTTTGCAATCTAAGACAATGGCGACATACTTTAAGGAATAGTTAACATTATAATAGGAAAATTAATCTTATTGTATAGAATCAGAATGGCTTACCATGTGCTGGAAATTTAAGAAATTGTTCCAGTTGTATTCTGTCATAATAAACATCTACTCTCCCCTTCCCCTGCACCTCATCCTGGCTCTTCCACACATGGGTCATCCATTTCTGTTTTCTGGGCCAGGCTTAGAATGAAAGCAAGCAAGACAGGGCTGTCTATTCTCTCAGTAAAAATAGCAGTATCATCGGTGGTCATAGGGATACTCCAGTAATTTTTAATATGCTTTTCTTTGACAATGATTATACTTCACTTTTTCAGCACAAGTGACTAATTAGTGTAATTTAATAATAAAAAATATGTCATAATGTTTTATTACAATAAGAGTTCATCTTCCTGCTAAGTCTAATTCAGGTTCATTTCCCTTATTAAGAAAAGAAAAAGGTTTGCTTGGAAATGGCAAAAGGGAACAGGAATGGTGGTTTTGTAGTGCATCATGAACAAAATGTTGGGAAACTTAACTGATAGATCTTGTTTTCTCAACATGTTTTTCAGAAATACTAATGGGTTACTAGTTAATTGAACAATTGAAGTCCATTCATTGTTAAGTTTTTATACAAATAAGGTTTCATTTGAAGGCAGATTTCTACTCTAGTACGGAGAAATGTAGAATAATCTTGGGTTACATCAAATTAAAGGTGATTAGTTTATAGTGGCTGATTTGACATTTGATGTAAACATTAACTCTGGATATATTACAGGCTTTGGTGTGAGGTAGCTAGGATGATGTGGTAGTGCACGTGTAAACCCTGTGTTTTAAATATATGGTCTAGAATGTTTTAATTCTGTGAGTACTCTGAATATGTCCAGAAGAGAGTTCTTAACTCTAAGTATGGTTTTGTTTACCATAAATGTGAAACAAAGCCAACCAGGGACACCTAGGGAAGAGAGGATCCTCAAGGACCTGTTTAGACAGTTGCTTCCAGAATAAAACAATTTTCAGTCAAAGACTTGTCAATCCTATTTTTAAAGATTGATTAGGTAGCTGATTTTTTCTTCCTTCTGTCCTTGGAGAAAATGAAAAATAACAGGTCCTCTTCCACTTTAGACTAACAATTCATACACTTTATGACAGTTAGGTCTCCCTTGAGCCTTCTTTTCTCCAGGACAAATTATGCTAACTCCTTCAGTCTGTCCTCATAGGTCCTATTTTTCAACCATTAAATCATCTTATTGTTCTTCCCTGTATCTTTTTCAGTTTTTTCAAAACCCTTTAAAAAATATAAAGTCTTAAATTGTAAATCTTTACCTACATTAGATAGTTTGGACTTCAGGATGATATTTGTTTCCACCTTCTAAGTCAGAAAAGATGGTCACTGAAACACGGGTCAGTTGGATGAGAGGAATAAGAGTAAAAATAGAAGGCAAGTGAAGCAGTTTAATATTCAACTCAGTGGATTCATATGATGAGAAACAGTAAAATTGTGCCTGCAAAAATGTCACAAGTGTTCTTTATAAGTCCTTTGAGAAGACACCAAGACACAAGAACTATTATAAAACAACTAGAACTGCTTTTGTTTTTTTCTTTAATAAACTGATGCCTCCTTTTACTAATTATAATTCCATGAAGAAAAAGATTAGCAGATGAACTAACATAGTGACAAATTCAGGACAAAAATAAAGTGAGTAATGGAAGAAGATGAGTACTGTTAACTCAAGGAAGATGAGAACAGGGATTCAGCATTAGAGTGACTTCAGTTATTAAGAGCTAGGACGATTTGTTTTTCAAGCAGATATTAATACCCAGAGGGGACATTTGTGGAATGTTACATAGTGTAGTGTTAATTTTTGGTAGCACATGACCAGTAGGAAGAACATGAAACTGGCTTTGCTGCTATGCTGTCCTGGGTATATGGCATTGCACTGTGTTCTCTTCAGCATCATGTTGATTTTGAGTGATTTACATATAGTATGCATTCAACCTCTCCATTCCATAAGGGCCAAAAAGGAACCCATAATCTTAAAAACCAAGTTTCCCCCTATCCAGTTACTATGAGAGCAAGATTCCAGTGTAATAAAAACCTACAATAAAAGCCCTAAACCTTCTAGTCTTTCTTACTTCAACTTAAGTTCATTAATAATTGAATTTTGTATTTCTTTGATAATTCAACTTTAAACCAAAAGTTTGTTCTGTGCCCAAAGGACTTGGCATTTACCCTACTCTCTCTCCTCAGTTATGCACTATGAAATGGAGTGAACTGCTTCATAGCTTCCACAAGAAAGAAATTAAGTCATTATGAAGAGATGGTTCTGTGTTTTTTCCAATATTCTCCCTATAAATCAACAGTCAATAATAGGGATCACAACAAAGTCAGCTTATAAGAGCGTTAATTCCCCAGATGTAGAGCTTCATGAAGTACCCATTGCTGGTTTGTTTTCACATTAAGTTGGGATAAAAATATAAATTTGCCATACCCATATTCAAGAACCATAGGAGATTCTAGAGGGCTCTTGCATCAAATGGTGGGCAGTGTGGAATATTTGTATTTTGCACTAACCCCTCTTTGAATGCTAATGCAGTATGGTCTTACCATTTTTGCAGACAGGACAACATTGTTCTGGTTCATAGACTGGGTTGACACACTCAGGAACTGCGCAGTCTGCTACAACACAGTGAACTTCATTGCTGGGCTCACAGCGACACCATTCACATGGAGAGGGCTAGGAACAAATCTAAAATTAGCCCCTTTTCTCCTATAACTTAATGCTTGCACATTCATATGCTGTCAGAAGATAAAACATCAGTGTTTATATTGGCTTTACTGTATCACTCCATTTACCAAGTGTATGATCATTCTTCCCCAATGGAAAGCAACCTGGATATCCAAGCCAAAGTGGGTTGCCGTGTGGAGATCTGGTTGCTGTGAGCAATTGGAGCACTCTGGGATGACTCTTCCTATCACTTATGTTCCTATTTTCCAAAGAAGTGTTGGGACAACTAATATGTCACCTCCTGGTTTGGTTTCCAGATGCACTGATTGCTCTGCCTTCCTCTAGTAAACGGGAATGATACTGGAACATGTGAAATAAATTTTTGCCATGTGTCACTTTTCTTCTTTAAGAAAGAAAAGGATTACTGAGAAATAAGAAAATGGTAAATGGACATCTTTACCCTTTGTATGAACGCTTTTTCAAGCTAACCTAGACTCTAAATGGCAGTTTTTTCCCATATGAATTTTAGAATAGACTGCATTTGGGATCCAAACACCCAGGTACTGCCTCTTGAAAGGTTTAGTGAATACCTTTCATCTTGCCTGCTTGCTTTTGTGAATGAACTAAAATTGATTGACTTTAAAAGCCACTAGTTAAGAGTCAAAGACTCTAAAACTGGAATTGAAAAGTGATTAATTTAGAGGAAAGAAGCAGAAAATAATTTTTGTCTAAACAGTACTTACCAGCCAAGAGTGAGTTTGAGATTTTCTGTTTCTTTTCTGCAAACTGCCTATACCACAAATAATCTCAAGCAGTGACCACTCTGTGACATTCTAATGTTTATAAGTTCTGTCTCTCCGTTCTCATGCAACAGAGTTTGGAATAAAAAGTTGGAGGTCCCAGAAGTTATACAGGTGTCTACTTCTCAAATCATTCCGTTTGTTCTGAGAAAATTCTGCTTCCAGTTCTATGCGATGGTGCCATAGTTCCTCACTTGCAAATTGTGTTAATTCAAGCTCTCTGCCTTTGTCTCAGTTGCTACTGTCCATATCAGCTCTTGTTTTCCTTCGACCTGGCCATTTGGGTAATATCAGTGCTTCTTGACTCAGGTAATTTGTGACGGTGAAAGCTGTTCAACTAATTATTTTCAAATTAAAGTTACAGTTGTTTTCTGCTTGGAGAATGAGAGTCTAGCTTTCAATTATTTTATTTTTCAATTTAGTGGGAATATGAGAATTAGACATAGAATCTGTAGGTAAAGTATTGCTAACATTGTCAATACATTCATTGAAGGGTACAGTTCAGCTCTTTACCGTGTGGTGAGATGTGTTAAGTATATCAAAGGAATGTATTAGATCGTCCTAAGGGCAGGGATTTTCCTGAAGCCCCTCTACTGAATAATCTCAGAAAATTAAGGAAAAGACTTGATACTATAGCATATTATTTGTTGAAGAAATATGAGAAATCCTGTGACAGAGGAAAATTCTTGTTGCTCTAACTCCTTATTTTGCAACTCCCCACTGTGATATCTTAAACTCCCAAGAAAAATGGTCAGAAGGTGTTCCCCCTTCCTTGGTTAATTGCAAAGAAGTATTTTGATATAGGCTTCTGAAGTACAGCAAGGACTTGGCCTTCATTTATGGTAAATATGAGAGAAAAAGGGAACCACTAATATGGCTTCCACATCCTGCCCTTCCATAGTTGTGACTGTTCATTCTTGCTAGTTCTTTTCTTGCTGCAGGATGGGCTGATCTGTGCAACTCTAGTGGATTGATTTAGGCTTTAAAAAATCTCCAAAAGCCCCTAAATTTTCCAATACAGAATGTTTACTTCAAAGTAATTAGCCTGTGAGAAAGATGTATTGGACTATTAGATTTCCAACACAGATTATTAAAGACCCCATTCTGACTCAAACAATGTTTTTAGACATGATTAACTACTGGATATTATACCAACCCATTTACCTATGTTAACTTATTTCTCATAATAATCCTATGAAAGAAGATTTGTTATTATCTCCATCTCACAGATGACGATATAGGCTGAGAGAGGGTCAATAACTTCCTCAGTCCTAGGCAGCAAGGGACAGAGGCAGTGTTTGAACCCAGGGGGTGTACCTGCTATAGTGTACTGCCAATGATAGCAAGACTCACTATTCTGGGTACTCCCATTTGATTAGTTCACTTTCCAGTGCTTTGTACCCTTCTCTATGCAGGCCAGATCCATTAGGAATCAATTATTAGGAACTGAATAATTGATTTATGAAAGATATGTACTTCTGCTAAGAAAGAATTTCACTAGGGAATTTAGTATATAAAGAGGTTATTATGGAGCCATAGAGCTTTTTAACTTTCTGCAATGTAAATTAGTAAGAAAACTATAGTATGTTGAAGTTAAGTTGCCCTGAGGTTCACATCCTTGGGGGCATCTTTAGCCTTGTAACTACACTGGAGGGTATCTGGGAGAAACACTAACAGGTGATGGTGCAGTAAAGACCCAGGGGCATCTTTGAGAAGCCAATGGAGACTGGATGTGTACACTCTAGAATTGTGAGAAATATTCTGAGGAAGAGCTATGGCTACAAGGCTTGGTGATAAAGATACACCTGATTTTTGAAGGAATTTTGAATAATGAGAAATATAATTTGGAAAAATAAAGTATCACCCTAGCCACCAAGTGACATTTTCGTTGAATCTTCCCTGGAATCTGACTTTATTCAAATACCACACCCTTCCTGGGTCCAGAATCTCTTGTCAGACACATGTCATTTCCTCTTTTGTTTTCATTAATTTTTTATTCAAATAATCTCTTTTAGTCCATTTTTTCTCATTTTCTCCGTGTGTGCCCCACCCCTACTCTGAACGCTCCATCGAATTTAACACATTGACCTTACTCCAAAGCCCCTTCTTTCTTCTCCAGCCTTATCAGGACTTTGCTCTCAAAAATTCATCAGTTCAGATACCACTGATTTCTTGTCCAAATTGACTTCTTCCACTGGCCCTGCTTTCTCTTGCACTTCTGAAAAGACATTGCATAAGCAGCAAGAAATCTCTGGGAGTGAACGATGTGCATTGTTCCTACTTTAAAAATCCTTCCCACCTTGCAACCTAAATCTGATGCTGAGCTGGTTGCGAATTTCCTTTTATCAGGCTCTCCAATGTGAAAACTATAGATTAAATCTGAAAATGTCCCCGTAAAACTAAATATTAAACAATAAAGCTATCCTTAGAGGAACAGAGAACACCAGAACAAGTACTTTTGGAATAAAATTATTCTCACTCGCTTTTTTTTTAGAAGAACATGTGAAATTACAACTAGTACATGGCTTTTGTCAGCTAGAGATTTGGTAAGTAACATGATTCAATGACACCATTCTAAAATTTTATACAAGAAAACTCTTTTTCTAAGAAATCTCACAGACATGTCATTTCTGTGAAAGCTTTGGAAAATAAAGTAACAGTCACTATATATAGCCTTACATAAATTTTCATTAAAATTTAGATTAGAAGCCAAATGTGTTAATGTATGTATTAGATAATCCAATAATTTTATGTCTGTTATGAATCTGTACACCTCCTGCTTAGAGTTTTTGAATATCTAATGTGAAACTCTGTTTAAGTAGAGCCATGCATTTTATCTGTAGTTCCTGCTATCACTGAATATATTTACATGGAAAATCCAAATGCTGTCCAAGCTGCCCCCAAATTTCAGAGGGATTTCCTAATATATATATATATTATAATTAATAGAATAAAAGAGGATTCTTTTCTAAAAATTGATTTAGGTAATTGGAATGCAAATTTTTCTTTTTGGTATTAGAGATGGAAATATGACAATACACATAATTCTTTTCAGTGGTTAACTTTTGAAGACCTTGAGGCTGAAATCCCAATGCCATTGTCTGTGATTTTTGAGAATTCTTATAAAATTGAAGGGGATATGCCCGAACCCTGGGAATAGTAGAATGCACCATGATTTTTAAAAATGGAGAAAGTAGCTTGAAAACCAGTAAATTAGCTTACTAGAATAATTGAGTAGCTCCAGAAAAATTGTCAAATATGTTCTTTGTAAGAATTTGGAAGGAATTAGTCATCGCTAAGAGTCAACATAGGATTATGAGAACATGTTAATACAGACTGGTTGCATAGAATTTTCAAAATGTTTGTAGAAAATGCACATTTATTTTGTATTCTGAGTACAAAATAAAACAGCTTACTTTCCATATCTGAGGAAATTCTAGATGTTTGGTCTGTATAACAGTATCTTGTGGCATCATTATTTATGTAGAGGCTGTTACTGGCATTGTTTATAGAGCTCCCATGAGGAAATAGTCACAGCCTAGGATTTGTTACCCAAATTCAAACCTCTAAGAGACAAGGACATAGCAGTGTTCAGTTTATTATTTTAACCTGGCGAGGTTTACAATAATAGTATTCTTACAAATTGGGAAACCCTGAATTAGGAAAATTAGAAAAACAAGATTTCATTTATTTGGCTTTGTTTCGGTGGCTATGATATCATGGTTAGAAGAAACTTCTCTATAGCTTTAGAAGTAATAATAATAAGTAATTAGAAGTAATAAGTACTTAGTACTTCTGGTCTCAGATGCTTTATCACTGGCTGTGAAATCTTTGGAAAATTAGATAAGCTTTCTGTGCCTTAGTTTCTTAATCTATAAAACGGGAATAACAGTATTAATAATTTCACAGAGTTATTGTGAAGGACATTAAATGTGTAAGAAAACTTATAATACTGTTATTTTATTCACTTGCAGACTTATTGATGGCTTTCTGAAAATAAATTCCAAAAAAAGTGTAAAATTGCGCTATAGCATAAGACTAGATTTAAAAGAATATTTAGGTTACTTTTCTTGTTCAAAGTGGAATCTGATTACAGACATGGTTGCAATAAAGTTTTATAGAACTTGGTTTGTTGCAGGGCGGGGGGAGGATGTGTGAACCAATAGAATCAATCATGTCAGAAACACACTGAAGAAAAATTGTTATTAG